GTGGAGTCATAAAAATGCTACATAAACGCTGCATACGGGAGTAGATTATAAAAGTATTTCCCGTTTTCAAGCTGCAAAGTATATAAAACTTTAGACAATAAAATCGAGGGAAACTAGAGGAAGATAAAATAAGAAAATTTATTTATAGTTTACACAATATATTCATGTGTTTGGGTTACTAACATCAACGTAAGCCAGAAACTAGAAGCTTCCTTCAAGCCGCTTTCTGCGACATAATAAAGTTGATTAATCAGGACACCTATACAAGCAGAAACTTGAATATAATTTAAATTCAATACGATGAAGTTTCAGTAAAATTAGCACGTAGTGACTTGGGGAAACCTTGAGTGGAATATTGAGATACTGTGCTAGTTCGCTAAGCGTATTGTGTCACTACAAAAAATAAAATATCAAATAAGCGTGCAGACGGATTATTTTGATGAACGATTCAAAGATGATTTGTAGCATGTGAAATTCTACTATTAGTATTTGTTCCTTTTTTCTTTCAATTATAATATAAAGTTGAATTATTATTACCTTTAATGTTGACAGTCTGGTGACTGGCATTAAAAAAAAAAAAGATTTTTGTTGCCAATAACAATAGCAATTTATTAAACTAGAAGACGTGATTTTCATTTAGGTTTGAAGTACCAGTTTAGTACCAACACTTGCTATTTTTTAAAAGCAAGTTCTGCCTGTAGAGATTGTCCGTTTTTACATCAGTTTTTAATCTTAACTTTGCCCTGAAAGGTCGACTCTGGCCGAGGGGGCAGCCATCTTCCTTAACTGTGATTACCGTTCTCGCGAAGAAAAATACCTTATCGGCCATCAGGCACTGTTTTAATGAAATAAAGTTGCATAAGGCAATAATCCATTGTTAACGAAAATGGGGGGTTCGTAGGTTGTTGGGGCCTTTTTCGGTTGTTTCAACGACGACAAAAATAAATTGGAGCCAGTTTCAGGTTGGGTTGAGTTTCTTGAGCAGTGCTCTTGACCGACTGACTTTTCTTGCAGAGCTCGCTGGCTGGCGGCTGACAGTTGCCTCTGTCTCTCTCTTGTTCGGTGGCCGTGTTCGGAGCGTGTTCCGTGGACATGGAGTGTGTTCCGTTAGCACCCCCTGGCTTAGAAAGCTGAATTTGTTAAGAATGGACTCGCCATTTATTAAGAAAAGAACGTGCAAATTCACAAAGAAAAACAATAAAACAAATGTGAATGATTCATTGGTTGTAAAAATACAAAACATATTAGTTAAACACCTAACAATACATATTACATAAATTTTTATTTGTAATATTCATGTAGTAACGAGAAAATAAATACATATTATAATATGGACAACTCCAAAGGGAAGTTCAGATTTTTTGTTTCTTTCTAGGTAACATTGGTAATAACTTAAACTACAAAACAGGATAATACTTATAAAACATAAGAGTACATATTGCGTAAATTAAATGAACAGAAATACATTCTATATAACAATTCTAAAAATAATTTAAGAAGATATTTATCTAAAGAAATGGACAGAAATGTTCTGGGTTACAATCTAACGTAAACCTAAACTAAAACCTATAGCTTAATACTTATATAATGAAAAGTAAATCATTACTCAAAATATAATAAACTATAGAAAAAAAATTAACCTTTCTGTTTAGATTTATTTAGTTTTTTATTTTTTTTTTTTTAGTCGTCTTATTTGTCATGTAGTCTTGATTCGAGAATTGTAGGTACTTTAACAATTACAGTCGTGAAAAGTACACGTTTTCGGTTTTACGGGTCTTCTTAGGCGTAAACCAATAGGGTTTTCCTGTATTGAGACAGGATGTGGTTCAAAGTTGGAACTTGGTTTATTAGGTTTGATTGGGGTCAATTTTCAGTTTTTTGGGGCGTAAGGTAGATCATCTTCATCTGAAGAATGATCAGTTCTTTGTAGAACAAGACTTCGAGCATCAGCTTCAGAAGGGTTTGGTGAATGACATTCAATGGAATGTGTTGGTGAAGATCGTTCAAAGGAACTAAGAAGTACTTCGGTACTTTGAGGGTTTGTTTGGATGTGATTTACTTCATCACTTTCAGGGTTACTTTCTTCCTGAGATAAATCTTTATCTAGAACATCTGGGGTGCGTTCAAAGACGGCAATGCTAATGCCAAAACCTACTTTTCCCCCTCCACCGGTAATGCCGAACCACGTAGGTTGGAGCCAAACTTTAACGCAAAATGCCAATTTTGGCTTGGCTGTAGCCATTCCTGAACGCAGCCCTGGATAGTCAATGGAATCATTATCCGACTCAGAGACATCAAATGTAGGGGGTTCGTTGCCCAGGGGAGCAGGTCTAAGGTCATTGACGTGAATACTGACCAGCCTACTGTCTCTTAAAATTGTATAAACGAGTGAACTGTCTTTTTTGACAACTTCGAAAGGACCTGACCAAACTGGGCCAAAGGGATTTCTGAGTTGCCTCATCTCTCGTACCATAACCTGATCACCAAGGTTGAAAGTCACTCAGTGGATTTTGTCATCAAAATATTTAGCCTGATAGCGGGATTGATTGGCTTTGATTTGAAGAATACGTTCCTCAGGAGGTACTTGCTGTTGTTTCAAGCGATTGTTCCTATACATTGGGGTAAGCCACTCACCTAAATCAGCTAATTCATAGCCTAAAAGGGCCCTAGCCGGAGTCATGTCTGTGGCCAAATTTTTTCTGGACCTTAAGGTTCTTAGCGCTTCGTCCAGATACAAGTCCCATTTTTTCTCGGATTTTCCTACCAGTAAAGTTCGTAAAACCTTTTTCAATTCTTGGTTCCTACGCTCTACAGGATTACTTTGCTGGTGGTAGATAGGGGTGTAGAAACGTTTGATTTTATATTTGTCGCAAAATTGACGGAATGTTTTGCTAATGAATTGGGGACCATTATCCGATATTATAGTTTTTGGACAACCAAACCTGGAAAAACCAGTATTTTTTAAAAAGCTAGTTACATTATGTGATTCTACTTGTGAAAATGCTTCGGTCTCTATCCATTTGGTGAAAACATCCTCAACACAAAGGATGTATTTTTTTCTACAAGAACTTTCATTGTAAGGCCCTAGGATATCAATGGAAAGGATTTCGAAAGGACTTTTTGCTGTATGTGCTTCCAAAGGAGCTTGTTTTTGGATTTGCCTCTTTTTTACTGACATGCATATTATACAATTATTTACATAATTACCAACAGAAAAAATATTTTTCCAGTATTTTTCTTATGGTTTCGTCTCTACCTGGATGTGTAACTAGGTCATGATGATGAATAACATTTTGTATCAAGTAACGAGGGACAATAAGTTGTTCCTGCTGACTATTTTTAAATAAAAGGTCATTTTTTACTATATGGGACTGATAAAATTTTCTTTCCGAGTTATCTCGTGAACCGTGAGATTTTATGTTTTTCCATTTACTAATTTTTTCCTGAGAGGCACAGATCGTCTTTGTGCATTAGCTATTTTGTCAAAAAGGTCAATATGAGTAATATTATTAACAGCGATATTTCTAGGAGTCTCCTCAATTAATGGTGGGAGAAAATCTGCGAATTCATTGTTTTTTCCATCACAGTGAATTAAGTCAAATTTAAATTCTTGCAAAAGTAATGACCAGCGGGTTAATTTACATTTGCTATCTTTATATTTATCGAGCCATAAAAGGGATTTTGAATCAGAAATCAGAATGAATCGATTGCTTTCAAGGTAATGGCGATATTTTTTAATAGCCCATACCACTGCAAGGCATTCTTGCTCATTGCAGTGATATTTGATTTCTGTTGCAGTGAAATGAGCGCTAGCATATGAGATGATTTGGCGGTCTTGGTTATTTTCATTCATCTGAAAAAGGACACATCCCATACCTATCGCAGAGGCATCAGTTTGTAGGTAAAAGGTTTTGGAAAAATCAGGTCTATAAAGAGCAAGAGGTTGTGAAATTTTTTCTTTGATTGTGTTGAATGCAGTCTGATGCTCATTCATCCACCGGAATCTGGTATTTTTGTGTAAAAGGGGTGTGAGAGGTGCAATGAGGTGGGACATATGGGGTATATATTCCCGCACCCAATTACAAGTTCCTAAAAAACTTTGCAACTGTTTCTTTGTATTGGGAGGAGGGAAATTTTGTATTGCAGTTATATGTTTTTCTTGGGGGATAATTTTACCTCCAGAAATCATGTGACCTAGGTATTCTAACTCTGAAGTGGCGAACTGACATTTTTCATGGGATACTTTCAAATTGTGAATTCGGAGCCTTTCAAATATCAGTCGTAGGTGGATAAGATGAGTGTTTAAATCGGTAGAGTAAATAATAATATCATCTAAGTAGACTTTACAAAAGATGTTTAAAAAGCCACAAAGGACTTCATTTGTCATAAGCCTCTGGAATGTTCCTGGGGCATTTTTTAAACCGAAGGGCATTACAGTAAATTGATATAATGCACCATCAGGGGTAGAAAATGCTGTATATGGCTTTGAGGCAGGATCAAGTGGCACTTGCCAGTATCCTGATTTCAGGTCAAGTACTGTGAAAATAGTTGCATTACCCAAATCTTTCAGGGTGTCCGGAACTTTGGGCAATACTGATGGTTCATCAACTGTAATTAGGTTTATTAGACGGTAATCTATACAAAATCTGTGTTTTTTGCCTTCCTTATTGACAATTACCATAGGGGAACTGTATGAGGAAGATGGTTCGATAACACCAGCTGATAACATTTCATCCACCTGTTGATACATGATTTCTTTGAGCTGTGGATTCATTGGGAAAGGTTTCTGGGCTATAGTCTTATCGTGATTAGTTAGAACAATTTTATGAGTTGTTGAAGTTCTAGTGGGTTTGTGGGGAAAGAGAACTCAAGAAATCGGTATTGGGGATATGATTATTTTGTGGAATATGCCAGTAAACAGATTTACGAGATGTAGTACCTATCTTTCTAGTAAAATCCAAGATAACATTATTGGATTTCAGGAAAGGCTCTCCTAGGATTCATTGTTCCTGTAATTTTGGTAAAAGGATAAATTCTGAGTTACAAGCTAAAGAGTTTATTGAAAAATCTAAATCTATTGTGCCTGAAGAAGTAGGTGTTTCTCCACAGGCTGATACGAATTTTTGATTATTGACTTTTATATCAATTTTAAAGTCGGCAACTAAATCTGAACGTATGATATTAATACTTGAGCCAGTATCCATTAAAGCAGAAATAGTTTTGTTGAAAATTTGAATGTCAATTCTAGGGAGTTTTGGGTCACTAATATGGGTGATGTTGTTGATGTCAATTGCTTTTGGGGGACAAAATTCGTTGTTGTCTTGCAAGGGCTTTATTGGGATGTTGTAATTTACTGGGTTGTGAACGGATTGGGATTGGAATTAGCCGGTCCAGATCGATGCTGACCCTGGCCGGCCCCCCATCTGTTTTCCGCCCCATTTTTATTGTTGAAAGGGTTTTTTGGGCAATCTTTAGTGCCACTGTTGACAATATTTGTAAGGTGATGGTGGCTTTTTGTTCTTGTCTTGCTTATGTAATGGTGGTATAAATGTCGTTTGGTCAGACACAGGAACTGAAGGATTGCTTTTGGCCTCAAATTTTGGTTGATTGTAAACGTGAAGGGTATTTTCGTCCAAAAGGTCCCTTTCTACAGTTGTGTTCATTCTTCACAAGTGAGAGGGACCCCGAATCTTCTCAACCTGGCAATGAAAACATTTACAGACTCAGTGGGTTTTTCTTTGTCACCATAAAGAGAAGAAATTGCTTAGCGAAAAGTGAAATTTGATTGAATCTATTCAAAAACTGTTCCCTGAAAGCGTTCCACGATAAATTAAGAGATATGTAGGGCTCAAACCATTCTCTAGCTTCTCCCCTAAGCAAGGAAACCCCTACGCTGACTCTTTCAGAGCTATCCAGAATGTTTGAATCATTAAAATACTTTTCCAGTGTCCTAACAAAGAAAATAGGGTCATCATAGTCGAAGCCATGAAAAAGGATAGTGGGCTTTTTATTAGGTTTTGTATAAAAATCGCTCAAGTCTTTAAGGGTTTTGGTAAAAACGTTAGTAACATCTACTAAAGCTTTTTCCATGGGATTTGGCACTATTTGGCCGAGTGTTTGGCTAGTATTTGGATTTCTGAATAAATTAGGATTAATATTAATGTTATTATTTGGGTTATTTAGTGGTGGATTCACTTCAGCACTGGTACAAGTTAATTGTATTTAAGTCTGTCCTGTCATTAGCATTATTGTTAGCAATAAATGGGTTCGATAAATTGAGAGACTCATGAGAACCAAGGTTAGTATTTTGTGGATTAGGTTGCTGTTCCAAGCTTGGACTGGAAAAAGCAATATCAAAAAGATGTGGATTTATAAATTTGTCCAAGTAAATCAGATGTGCATCCATGCCCTCCATTGTTAATTGGTTACTGTTTAAATACAGGTCAATTAAATTTACAAAAAACAATCAAGTCGTTCAATAAAATCCTCGATAAAATCTAATAAAATATTTAAGAAGGTTCCTAATATTACATATTTTTTTTCCATTTTAATATTATTAACCTAATATCACTGTTTATGAAAATGTTTTGTTTATTATTTAGTAATAATAATAGTAAAGATTTTAGCTGAAAGCTCTAGGTAGCAACATTAAGCTGCTTGAAAGACAAGCTTCAATTGTATCAATTTTGTATTTGCAAATTCTGAGTAAATTCCTAATGTTCAGAAAACCAAGAAAAATATTTAATATTTTATTTTCAATAATTTGGTAAAATATACTGCAGTTAATTTTCATAAATTACTACTCAATCTTTGTTATCAAAAGAATATATTAAATGACCTAATAACATTAACAGAATCAGCATAGAGATTGATAAGCTTTACAATGGCGATCTGTTTAATACCTTATTTGTGTAATTCCCATGCAAACTATCATAATTACCAAAATTAATTAACGAACATGTATGCAAATGTTTGGCTGATTATAGTAAAGCGATTAAGCGGAGGATAGTAATAATTTTGAATGCACTTGAATACTGACAAAGTTTTCAATAAAATTGTAACGAACTTACATAATTTTCCTAGGTATATTAATGATTGCTACCGCGGTTCTAAGTTAATTACTTCGGCCGGATTAATTCTACATGATAATTAATTTAAATAAAACGCGTGACCTTGTTTGAAACCGTACGATCCAATAGAACCGAACACCGAACGCATCACGCATTCGCCTTGCATCGCAGTGTCTCGGATTTTCCCACTGCCGTTCCCACCTTTGTCGCCCGGCGACCGGTAATAAAAGGCGGCGCGCGGCCACAATTGGGACACTCTTCTTCTTCTGTTCACAGGTACCAGCAGCCCAGACCACCAGCGCCTAGACCACCGACCACCGACCACCGACCACCGAGGTAAGCCGCTGGCTTGGATTCCGCAGCGCCGTCGCGACGCCTCAGTGAATCGTACGATCTGGGTGAGTGGGACTACTTTTTATACAGTGATGTACACGGACTGAATGGGGTTACGGCCCTATTCTGTCTGTGACGGTCAATAGAGGTTACGTGCTGGACCGCTTACAGGGTGGCACCCGTTGTCCTTATATCAATGCATATTGAGTACTCTTCACTTCACACAGCTTGTTTCTTTCGTGCATGATGCTCTTGCTATACAGGGGGATACACGGATTGAATGGGGTTACGTGCTGGACCGCTTACAGGGTGGCCCTATTCTTTCTGTGACGGACTTGAGGAGGTTACGAGCTGGACCGCTTACAGGGTGGCTCTCTGTCCTTATGCCTTTGTATACTAAGATACATCATGCACCCCGCACCGATCGCCTGAAAGGCCAAATCACCAGCACTGACGGCTGAAGAAGCTGGATCCCCCGAGATTTGACCTGCAGAGCTTTTCACCCCCGCGTACCGTTACCGTCCCGCGTAACCGTCCCGTATTAGCTTTCGCGTTTACCACCGCATAACCTTAAAGGCACGCTAGTATTCGTTTACACACTCGCTCTCTCTCTTTTCGTCATTCCGTCAGTTAATTGAATATTACCTTTTAATCATTTTCATTACGTATTGCATCTATTATTTTTCGACCCAATAAACCTAATTTGTTGGTTAAATTTCTGTGTTTCATTTTGGAGATGCGCATATTGACCTCTGGTTTTCCGTCTCCACTGTTTAAAAGCTACCTAGTGCACGTGGGCCCTTAACCACTATAATCCTAAGGGTGGCGCCCCAGTTTTCCGAAACCCCAAACCGACCGCTCTCTTACCGGAAAACCAAAGTAGCGCTACAAAACATAAAATTGCAATATGTTTTATAGTCGAGTGAGTGGCTGTGTTGCTCGTCGTCGAGGAATCATGAAAATCATACCAGTGTACCTTTTATATTTAAATAAAAAGGCGAGAACCGGTCGATAAGATCGAAAATAACAACGTGCCTCAAAAATTTTGTATCCTGGTGCGCGAAATATTTCAGAGAAGTAGTGCGCGAACGGGAAATATTGAAAGAAATACACTGAATTGAACTGCAGTTTTTTCGATTAATATTTTGCTAACAATGTAAATAGAATGATCACAATGACTGTTGATGTTGAAATATCTGGAGATACTCTTGTAGGTAGATGATGTAATTACTGACTCCACATTCGGCAAACTTGAATAATCCCTACCATTATCATATTTTTTTTAACTAGAGTCCTTAGTATCAGATAACATTTTGTGAATCGAAAACCGATTTGACAAATGTCAAATCACTTACTAACCCAAAAATTAATTATAATTCACTGGCTGAAGAACAGTATAATATTAAAATAATTTGAACATTCCCTCTTTTATATAGGTACATTTTCACAGACTCGTTATCTCGAAACAAAAAGTTCCCATTAATTATTTCAGTCATCTTCTTCCTCTTACTAATACTATGCAATTGCCTCTAGTGCTTATCTAAAACAACCAGGAATATATAAACACAGGTTTACGTCCGTAAAGTCTTTGGTTTAGGCTTTAGTCTTCCGGACTTTAATTTAAATGACAAAAGCTACCGACGTTCTAAGGCAAAAACACCAGTTTCCGCTATCCTGAGCATTGCAGGGCTTTGGGGCCCTTTTTGATCCTGCTTCGTGAGATTAATAATTGAGAAATTAGAAATTGCTGGTGTCCTTAGAAAATAGAACAAAAAGATCATCAGCTGAAATATCCCTAGGACATTGATAATGTTGGAGATAATTTTATGTCAAACGAGAAGTTTCTTGGTAACTTACAAACGTGCTTGAGAAATTTGTCATAAAATTATGTTAGGGATGTCCGAAGGATATTCGGTCAAGATATCTTGTGGTAATAGAAACGTCGGTCTAATAGTGATTGAGAACATTGCTAGGGAAAATTGAAGTGATTGGATGTTTGTATCACATGAGACAAAATATAGTTATTCATGTACCAAGGCTGTAGCATGTGAAATGCTACTGTCCGTAACTGTTCCTTTTTCTTTCAAATATTGTTTTATAGCATTATTACCTTATTATTATTACCTTTAATGTTGACAGTCTGGTGACTGGCATTAAAAAAAAAAAAAAATGTCACCAATAACATTAGCAATTATTAAACTAGAGTGCTCGATTTTTGTTTAAGTTTGAAGTTCTAGTTTAGTACCAACACTTTTCGTTGGCTATTTTTTGAAAGGAAGCTCTGCCTGTAGGAATTTTCCGTTTCTCCGGCCCCTTTCAATCTTGCCGTTTTCCTGAAGGGTCGACTCTGGCCGGAGGGCAGCCATTTTCCTCAACTGTGGTTGATTACCGTTCTCGTGAAAAAAAAATTCCTTATCGGTCATCAGGCACTGTTTCAACGAAATAAAGTTGCGTAAGGCAATAATCTATTTAATACCGACAAAAATTAAATCGGAAGTCTTGTGTTTACCGTTTTATTGTTTGAAGTTCGAACCCCCTCGTCGGTTTTTCCGAGGAGCCGTTTCTCTCAATAAATCCATTTTCAAGAAGCTCTAAAGATCACCGTTTTCGTGCAGCGCAGCGTGGGCATAGAATTTTTGAAGTGATTTTCTACAGGAATCAAGTCCTTCATGTGTCGATACTTGTACCTCCACATTTGACGAAGAAAACTGAATTTCTAGCCCTTATCTACCTTGATTACAGGCAAGAATCTGCAACTTTCATTTGCAACTTCCCTCGTTAAGTGACAAAAAAATGGATGGCTACCGTCCTCTACCTTTTTGTCGGAATTGAGGCTTGTATAGACTCTCATTTATAACTTTCATTACCTTTTTTATAAAATCTGCTTTATGATCAATTACCATAATTGATTATTTTTATTGACATTA